ATTCTATGTCGTCGATCGGAGGCGCGTTCTTCATGAGATGCGCGACGTGCTTTCGCAGGATACGCAGCATGCCGTCCTTGGTAAAGGGCTTGGCCAAAACATCGTTCAAACCTGCGAGGGAAGGGAAAAGTCATGTCAGCGATGCAGTCCCACAGTGATGACGCTACTAATGGTGGGGAACTTACTCCAGTTGAAATAGTGACTGATATCTTCCGGGCGAATGTTCGACGTCATGGCGACCACGGGCACATCGGGGTGCACCTCGCGGATCAGTTGCGTTGCCGAGACACCGTCCATGTGAGGCATGACAATGTCCATGAAGATCAGATCGAAATACCCGGCACCGACTTCCTTGCACTTGTTGACAGCGTCGATACCGTTTTCCTGGACAGAGTCAGCAACCTGCTTCCTACGACAACTGTGGATTGCCTGTCACATACCGCAACCTCTACCTGGCACTCCATCTGCGACAAGAACTTGGCTCCTATCCTCGAGCACGTCCTATCATCCTCGACAAGGTAGACACGCGGCTTCTTTGCTCCCCACAGCGAGTTGTCCTGCGGCGGTGCTGCCCTGCCAGCAGGGCCTGGCGGCGCCGGCGTGGCACCGCCTGGTGGGTTCGGCGTTGCCGGCCCCGGCTCCTGCTTGACCATGGTCTGGTTCGGGTAGTCATTGGTGAGGGTCGGCAACGAGTTGAGGGTGTACGGAATGTTGTTGAAGTGGTCTTGCGACAAGGGATCGATGCCCACATTTTCGCCAACAGGGTAGACGAGATGACGCATATTGACGTGGTCGGCCATCATGGGGGGCATGGAGCCCGGCTGGAACATGAGGGACGACGCCGAGTCGGGCGGCGAGCTCTGGGCGTACATGCCGTTGAGGCGCTCAAAGTCGCGTTCGACCATGGAGTTTGTCGTCACCGTTGACAGAAGCTCGCGGGCGCGGCGCAACTCGGGCGCCTGCTCATCCATGGTGCCGCCATTCATGTGGGCCGCAGCCTGGTTCGGATACCTACCAGTGCGCCATCGCTCGTCAGGACTGGAGAGGAAATTCAGAAGCTCATGCGTTGACTGCCTCTGTACGTCAATAGTCTTCTGCAGCGAGTGCACCTCATGCACAAGCGTCTTGTTGGCGCGTGAGAGCTCAACAAACTGCTCCTGCAGGGCCTGGACCTGCTGCTGTTGCGCGAACAGTGTCTCCTGGAGCAGGTTGATGGACTGGTTGGTGGTGAAGGAGTCTTCCGTCGGCTGGGCCTTGCGTTGGGCGGGCGCCTTGCGCCTGATGTTGTCGAGGTTGTCTTTCCTGTCCGCTCGAAACGCAGCATGCTTGAATTCCCAGGCCTGACGACACGGTCAGCGATCGCATGCTCCAAGTGGACAGCGCCAAGCCACCCTTTCTGCTCACCTGTTTGCCGTAAGGCGACTCGTTGTTCTCGTCGTTTCGTCGAAGCTTGTGAAAGTCATATTTATTCAGCTGGCGTACAAAGCTCGAAAAATTGCTGTGCTTGAAGTGCTTGGGCAGGATGTCGTTGGTGAACTTGTCCGTCTGGGATTGAGTTAGCGCACTGCAAAGCAAGGCAAACAGCCAGGGGCCAAGGCTATGCGATGTACCTCAAGGATGACAAAGGTGTCGCCCTCGTTTCCCCATCTCACAATGTTCGCGTATGCAGGGTCCTCGAGCATCCTGTGATGGTTAGCAGCCGCCGAGAGGCCATGGTCGTTGGACGGACGGCAGGGTGGACGAACTTGTAGAGCTTGCGAACCTGCAGTATCACTGTTAGCAACAGACCCGCCATGCGCCACACGATAGAGAGTTGATTTGGGGGCCAACGTACAAAGTCGCTCGAGTTATTCCCGCCCTGTGCGGCGCCATCACCTTCGGGAGGCATGATGCGTTCTCTGGCGGGAAGCGAACTCGGAGTCGTTCTCGCGCACTTCGGGTCGCGGCGCAGAGGGCGCGAGCGACAAAAGCCCGGGAGGTCGGTTGGTCGAAGGTCGCGACAAGGCGTGCGAGAGGACGTGCGAGAGATGCTCCGAAGAAAGTCTGGGTCTGGTCGTCGGTTGTGCCGTGCTGTCTGCGAGTGGATGGAGTCGTCAATCGTCGTCGAAAGGAGGGTCAGGGTCTCGGTCTCCTAGACTCCGCCGAGAGAGGTTTCCAAGTAGCCAACGTGCTATGCTTGTATCGGCAGCAAGCAAGGCGCGCGGCGGGTAGGGTGGGAGGAGAAGGAAGAATGCGGGCGGCTGGTGCAGAGGCGGACTGGGCAATTCGCTAGCAATGCATTCCTCGCCAGGCCAATGTGGGTATGTCGAGGCGAAGCGGACCGCAGGTGTATTGGGGACTGGCGCGGATGAGACGAAGAGTGTGCCCACAGGTGTGTCGTTTCCAGACTGAAGGGAAACGGACGCGAGAGGCAGGTAGCGAACAAGACAAGACTCGGCCGACAGGCGTGGTAGGGTAGGAGAGATAGCGGCGCTTGGTGGGTGGGTGGATGGACGGAGGGATGGGCAGCGGCAAGCAGGCGGCAGGACTCGTTCGCTGTGGTAGGTAGTCAGCAGCGAGTAGCAAAGTAGTAGCAAAGCAGGCTCTCAGACCCTGGCACTGACGCCGGGGTTTTTTGCTTGGAAACTGGAGACCAGGTGGAAAGGAATGACCTGCAAGTGGAATTGGCGGGTTAGGATGAATGGTGATCCCTCTCTCTCTCTGTCTGCCTCTTTCGGCTACTCTTCTTGCTGGTGGACCGTCCCTCGTGCTTCCGCGGTTTCGTGCTTTCTCGTGTTAGGGTGTTCGGCGTGCTGTCGATGTATAGGCCTTGGCTGCCTCGGGACCCTTGCTCGACCCTCTTTCGCTCTCTCTTTCTGTATGTCTCTCTTTCTGTCTCTCTCTCTCTCGCTCGCTCGTCTCGAAGTGGAGCGACCAAGGTACGCGTGACGGGGAGGGGGATACGGGGTTCAATGTCGATAGGACAAGAGTCGAGAGGGCCGAGAGACAAGACATGAGGGTCGCCCTTACACCCTCGCACTGGGAGGGGACCCCCAAAAGCGTGGAGGGGGGGGGGACTAGCAGGCCCAGCGGAATTGGGTGACGAGACGACGAGACGATGGAGGAGGCAGTGGCTGAGATCGATTGCTGCGCCGTGCCCCAGGTGAGGGAAAATCTCTGGGGATCGGGACCCGGTTTCCGAGACACCGATTGGCTCACGATCCAGGATGCGCTCTGAGAAGAGTGGGGGATCACAGTGCTCGACCAATGCCTGGTCCGTGCCAGAGAAGCCCCGGGAGCACTGTCATGGCATCTCCTTTCCGAATCTTGGTACAGCGCCCCCATGTACTCTCGACTCCCTGAGTCCGCCTGCGAACTACCTATCGCGTTTTTGGGGTACCTCATGTTGTCAGGTAGCTGCCCGGCCCCCATCACATCACCCTAACGTAGGTACCTTAGGAAGCAGGGCCCTGTGGTTTGCCTTGGCTTGGCCCGCCTTGGCTCTTCAAATGCTGGCTCCCAAACGCCCCGTCCTGTGCCCTCCACGAGATACCTACTTACTTACCTTACCTTACCTTACCAAGGTATAGGCACCTACCAGTAGGCGGGCAAGGTAGGTAGGTCGATTTCTGGCCTTCATCAATCTCATTACCTCGGGGCACCAGTTCGCGAAACGCCCTCTCGTCCCCTCCCTTCCTCCCTCCTCCCTCCTCCGTGGTGGCGCCGAGGACGTGATGGATGGCGAGAAAATGCGAGAAAATTTGCCGTGAAAAAAAAAAATAGACTCCCTGCACCCGTCCGATCCCATCCCCTATTCACCCAGTCCCCCCCCCTCCCAAAAACCCATCCCTATCCCATCAGTTTCTCTCTCTGTCTCTCGTGAGCCCAGTCTCAGGGCACGTCCCGGCCCCGGGATACGCCGCAATGGGCCCTGCATGGAAGGGATGGAGACGAGTACAAGATGATCTCTAAATCGTGAGACTTTTTCGCTTCCCATGTGAGATGAGATCCCACCCCCCTCCCCAGGGTCTGTATCTTGTCGTCTTGTCTTGCTGTCTAGCGCCAGGTGTCTGGTGTCGAAGGCGCCCAGCGTGTGCCAGCTCGATCTCAATGTCTCACCGAACCCTCTCCATCGCTGGCCGTCTTAGGATTAGAACTTAGCCAGGCTCTGTTGATGCATCTGTTCCGAATAATCAGCCTTGCTATTGTCCCAGTCGAGACCAAACCGCTTCCGACTCCCGAGCGATCCAACCCGTCAGCTCTGCTGCCCTGTCTGGTCATGCCCCGGAGTTACATCATCTTGCTCCGGGCCAGCATGCAACACCCCCCGGCCCCAATGGAGCGGGAACCATGGCAAGCGCTCAACCCGCTACAGTAGTCCATCCCAACAGGTGAAAGATCGACCGTCTGTGGCTGGCGGACTTGCGCTGTTCAATGAGGAACTGTTTGCCGTTCCAGGACATTGGGGGTGCGTGAGAAGGGGAGGTTTGCCAGACGTCCTCGCCGTTTTGGTGAGACCGGTTGACCGCCAGCCGGGCACTAAACTGAACATGGCTTGGGCGATACCAAGCCCAATATCCCAGACAAGCTTGGAGGCAACAGACTTTTTTTTTTGGCCCTTCCTCTGTTGTTGATGCCCGCTGCCCAATTTTTTTTTTCGAGTTCGTTTTAGCCGGCGCACATACACAGATGCCCTCGATGGGCAGGTCGTCAGTGGGCTGCTCTGGATCGTGCACCAAACCTCGCCTAGGTCAACGATGCGACGATGGCCAGGCACCCCCGAACGCCTCTTTTTTTTCATGAAGTTTTTTTATTTTCCTTCTTCCCCCATTCCCTACCTTATTCTCAGCTGCCACTGCACTCCGATATATCTCGGCAATGCGCTCTCTCTGCCTCATTCTCCGCCTCTCTCGCTATCACGGTTCATTCACCCTTGTGCTCATGGAAATGTTCAGGGGTGAGTGACATGACACCTCTTGGGCCTCGATGTGGAACATGCGACAGGGGGCCAGGGCGAAGGTCAACAACACCACGTCAACAAGGCAGCTGATCGGCCACTGGTGCCAAGCCGAATGCAGGCTGGTGCGTTGTCCACAGGAAGTATGACGCCATCACTACATATCGCCTCATACCTACCGCCTGCCGCTCCAGCGTGCCTGGTTTGTCCGTCTCTCTCTCTCAGCTTTCACACTCACCCTCTCTCAGCCCCCGCCCCCCCTCAAGCCTTTCGAGGTCGAGCCGTCCCCCGCTTCACCCGATCGGACCGGGCCACCTTTGGCCGGAAGCGGCCTCGAACACAAACCAAGCCACCAGGACCCCGAGAGTCATCGCCCGGGTTGGTCTTTAGGGGTTTCGGGGACCCAGGGCCTGGACCGCCCATTTCCTCTCCACTTCATCCGTGTCTCGCCGCCGCGATCGTCATCCTTCGGGCTTGGGCCTGTCAGATGCTGCGTACTCTTGAATTGATACTGTGATTGATGATTGCGACAAAGACGGACAGCTTTCGTTTGAGCTGCCATGAATCTAGGCACGCACCCATGCGCGCATCAATGGTTTCCTCGTCGTAGTACACATTGCATGTGATGAGACGTTGCATTCAGCACGCCTCGAGCGCTATCTAGGCTATTCAATTGAAGCCGTATCTTGTAGTTGCAGGAGGTAAAAACAGGCCTGAATAAGCATCTTTGAACAGCATGGCGTAGAGGCTGATACAACCTCACTCGCTCGAGGGTGACTCGCGGTGAGGTTGTCGGTGGATGTGAATCGTGAGGTCGGAAAGGCCGCTTTTCGCCGATACAGGCCTTAACGCGTATCCTGGCTGTCGAAATCATGATAAGGAAGGCTTCATCAGCTGACAATGTCGCATAAGCATGGGTACACCCTAGAGCATCATCTCATAAGGGTTCTGACGACTAGAGCGCCATGTGCTTAGCTGTCAGGCCGACGTTGATACAGTAATACATGTGGCCGCCAGATCGCCCCATGTTAGAGCTCTGTGTCTCAAGCAAGCTCAGCAAGCACTGCATTGATACAAACGGGCAACGAAGACCAAACTTGTGAAGACGTATAAATGAGGCAGACAAGGAACCTTGTCTGAGACGGCGAAAATGGAAAGTGCAGTCCTCTGGTGTCGAGTAAGAAGTGTGGAAAAAAGGCGCCCAGGCCGGGGAAGTTATCAAGGATATGCAACGGTAATTATGAATGGAAAACGACCTACGTACACACTCCAATTGCAAGCTGGGTCTGTGTGCAGCTGACATTGAACGCTATTATCGAATAGGGGTCGAGAGGTCAGAAACTACCAGGGGGCATAAACTTGGCGAGCTGGCGGGCTGACGATCTATGGGATTTCTCAAAAATTGCACTTCAAGATAGCGGAGGCATGTAGGATTCAAGAAAATATTCTCGCCTAAGCGCAAGAAGTTTACTTAAAATACCGTGCTGGGGCGACACGTACTGATATCATTGGCTTGTTGACTGTGCTTGCACCATGATGATCTCAATCGGTACGCATCTACATCACTCCGTTCTCTTCAATTATCCATTTCGGAAGACCTGTCTCCTGGAAAATAACCGACAGTCGCGTACTTCCTCGCAACATCTAACAAACCAATGACACCTCGCTGTCTTGAAGAACCGCTATTGGCTTTGCGCAAGTTATATAGCCTATTCTCGTGCTTGTGCAGCTCCGTGACGAGTGAGCCTGTCTTGGCAATGTCGATCCTCCTGCAACGTTTGGGCAGTCATCCTCCTTCCAGAGCAATTACTGGAAGTTGGTAGATAGGGTGAGCTCGAGGCCTCTAAGAAAAGAGCTTGCTTCCGGCACAGGGCAACGCAATAAAAAGCCACTCTCCCACAATCTCTCGAGCCCATGCTAACTCAAATCTTCCACATTGCGAAGCGTATCCGTGTGAATAGTTCGAGCCGCATTCGCTCGTTTTTTTCCCTACTATCAGCGATGCATTTCTTGTTCTTCACCGTGTCGGTGCTGCTCGGCAGTGCTGTTAGCGCTTTGCTGCCTGATCAAAAGGGGTTGCCGCTTTTGGGGAGGGAATGCGAGGAGGATGTTGTGCCCTACTGTTGTAACTGGATATCGGATGGGGACTCGGGCATGCACTGCGAAGGTAAGTCCTCGTATTCGTATGTTCAATTCATGGCACATACTAGGCAGATAGTTGTTCATTGCGCAATGCTGTACTTCAGGACCTGGAAAAGTACCCTCTCTTGATGATTGCGCCGGTTTCGATCCACCAGCATTCCCTTGTTGTTGGAGGAAAGATGTAAGTGGGATTGATCCTGTTCTGCCTTTTTGCCAATGTGCTTGATATGCTGACAGAAACCGGCCCTCGCAAGGGGAAATGGGCAAATTGTCCCGAGCCGTGACGATACAATGAGGTCTTCACGAACGGTGCTACTTTGGTCTGGTGGCGAGACAAGGAGCCTGTGAAATAGGTTTGGAGCTGGACGGCAACTCAAAACAATTGAACGGCTGACAACTATGTGGCCATTTTTAATACCTCGCCTGGGTGTGCCAGGATAGGTGTGCGTATATAGCGACCAATAGGACATGCGGGAAAAGCCTTTGAATAAAACTTGAAATCTGCCGGCCAGATACAAGTTCTAGATTTCGCTCTGTAGGATTTATAACCTGAAGACGGGCCCTGGTGTCGATTCTAGTGAAATGTTTGAACCCAGCTACATTCACTTGGTCCCCGAGAACACCGAACTTTACTCTTCTATACCCTCCAACGAATCTAAATACTGGTCTAGAAGGCGTATCAAATGCTGCGGGTGGGGTTGTTTTTCAAAATACCAGAAAACAATATTCGAGAGCATTCAAATATTGAAGTATCAAGTTAATGTGCCATTATAATCGCTTGGTTTTAGTTCCACACCGGAATGTTTTCGGGCCTCAGGGCCATGGGCAGATGGACACAGAGCAACATTATGCTGACGGCGCCAGCATTGATGATCAAAAGCAAAAAGATGACTACTTCCCGACTAGTGGATGATGAACATTCGAACAACAGCTTGATTTGTAGTGGATAGCCGGTGTAGTTGTTTGCTTGTTGACTTGCTCAACGACTATCCACTGCCTGAAGCACCCTGTGTGAACTGGGCGGTGTCTGCATGACTAAGCATCGCCATTCACTGTACGCGTGGGAACGCGGTCAGGACGCGACAAGATTGCCATCTACCCAGTGCACCACCCCACATGCTAAACCGCACCCATACAGATCGCAAATCAATTGCAGTCGACAGGCTGCAATCTTTCTTGCCTAGCACCTCAGACCCTAGACCTTGATATGCCTCATTCTGTTTCGCCAAAATCGAACACTGCCTCTGAGCAGAATACGCAAGAGACAATGGCCGAACCTTTTCCTGGCACCGCCGAAACCCAGTCAACCGAGGGAGACGTGGCGATGGCTGACGTGACCGAAGACGCCGTCGCTGTCCCGGCAATCAAGGCGGAAACCAAATTAGAGGAGCTGTTTGATGACATGGACTCGGACGAGGAATTTCCGAGTTCGCGACCGAATGGTGCGCCGCCCCCTAGCTCGCCGCCTCTTGCGACATCACAATATCCTTCGTGAGTATCGACGCGACCCAGACCACGGGGGCGTCAGCTGACACCGATCTAGAGACATTGCCGGTATGAAGGCATCAGACCCAGAGATCATGAAACTTTTCTATCAACGCCTGTTTCCCTGGAGGCAACTCTTCCAGTGGCTCAACCACAGTCCGACGCCCACGAACGACTTTGCCCATCGCGAGTTCGCCTTCACGCTGCAGAACGACGCATACCTGCGATATCAATCTTTTCCATCCCACGACCTGTTAGTGACCATGGAAATCTTGCACAATGTTGAATTTGACTGACCAATGTAACTTATAGCCTCCGCAAGGACATTCTCCGCCTGATGCCGTCTCGATTCGAAATCGGCCCCGTGTACACCACCAACCCCCGAGACCGCAAAACCCTCCGCAGCTCGAGTGCCTTCAAACCGCTGGCCAAGGAGTTGTGTTTCGATATTGATTTGACGGACTATGACGATATTCGGACATGCTGCGACAAGGCCAACATCTGCATCAAGTGCTGGCAGTTCATCACCATGGCCATCAAGGTCGTCGACGTTGCGCTGCGGGACGATTTCGGGTTCAAGCACATCATGTGGGTGTACTCCGGAAGGAGAGGTGCTCACGCCTGGGTGTGCGACAAGAAGGCGAGGACAATGCCGGACCAAATGAGGAGGGCGATTGCAGGGTATCTGGAGGTTATCAAGGGAGGCGCGCAAAACTCGAAGAAGGTCAATCTCTGGAGGCCATTACACCCCCATCTGACGTAAGTCTTACTGCTTCTGAAGGCCCACCCCCGTGGCATCAGTACTGATGTGCAACAGGCGGAGTCTGGAAACTCTCAAAACCCACTTCCAGGAAGACGTTCTCGAAACCCAAGACCCATGGGCGACTGCCGAGCGCGCTGAACGACTCCTGCAGCTTCTGCCCGACAAGAATCTGAATGAAGCCCTTCGTAAGAAATGGGATGCCTCACCAGGCCGCTCCTCCACTTCTAAGTGGGCTGATATCGACACCGTCGCCCGCAGCGGTGCGAGCAAAAGTCTCGATGCGCGGGCGCTAAGGGAAGCGAAACAGGACATCGTCCTCGAATACACATATCCACGCCTCGATATCGAGGTTTCAAAGAAACTGAATCATTTGCTCAAGTCGCCTTTTGTCGTCCACCCCGGCACCGGCCGTGTTTGTGTGCCTATCGACACAAAGGCGCTCGAAGAATTTGACCCCACGACAGTCCCGACGGTCCAGCAGCTTCTTTCAGAGATTGATGAATGGAAGGCTGATGAGGAGGAGCCAGAGGCGCCACAGAAAAGCGTGCAGGATTGGGAGAAGACAAGTCTCAAGCCGTACATTGACCAGTTCCGATCATTTGTAGCAGGACTCATCAAGGACGAAAAGGATATCAAGGTGAAGAGGGAGCGTGACGAGGAGTCCATGGACTTTTAGTAGGCTGGCTGGCAGCGTATGAATGTATGACTGGGTATTATCGAGTATATTTTTAGGCGGCTTCAATGCGATGTATACACGGCTGGGCATTCTCTTTTCCCTCACCTGGTCTACCTAAGTGGCAGGTGCAGGCGCATTAGCAACAGCGTCAGTATCTACCTGCATCTCGTCGCTCTCAAGGGCGCCCTTGTTGCCATTCTTGTTCTCGGTCGTGGTCTGGTCCTCTTCGCTATGCTCGTCATCATCCTCTTCATCTTCCAGTCTGCTGTCATCAAGGTCAGCACCGGTGGTGTCACCCTCCTCCGCCGAGCCCCTGAGCTTGCCACCTTTCCTCTTGGGAATGACCTCGAGAAACGCCTTGCCCCAATCGCCGGTCTCCAGCCACTTGAGCATGATCTCTACAACGTGATTTGTGGCCAGGACGCGGCGACTCGCCATCTCCAGGTATTCCCCGATAGGCAGCTTTGCCGTACGGATACCCCTTTCTCTCGCGCGCCTGTGGCACAAGCCCTTTTCGCGGTTACGGTCCACAAGACCCCCGATGATGTAGCTTGTGTTTGGCTCCAGGCGGTCCAGGGTGTTTGGCGACTCGGCAGACAGATAGACGATCGACTTGAGGTCTTCTGCAGGCTCAGGCTCCGCCTCGGCCTGTGGTGTCGCGTCTGCCTCGTCCCTAAACAGCGCTGGCTTCGCACCCTTTCTCGGCTGGAGCACATCGATCAACTGACCTCCGTCGGGTCCCTTCATTTCCTGCTCTGCCGCCTTCGCCGCCTCGATGTAATCACCCTCAATCAGTTTTACGCCCTTCCAGTGCAGGTGCTGGTTGGCCAGCGTCGTCTCGAACCTCTCCTTCATCATACCCTTGTACGAGCTGATGTAGAGGTGCGACTGATACCGCGCGCGCCTGTTGTCGCTGTAGCAACGTGTGACCTGGCTCGACAGGGAGATGCGCTCGCTTTCGAGCATGTACTCTTCGAAATCGCAGTCGACG